TATGACCTTAAGAAGCAATGATTTTTGAGAGGTTAATTTACAATAAATAAGCAGAAAGTGATTGAACGTTAAAAAAAAGAAAAAAAGAAAATAGCTCCCAAGAACCAGTAAAAATAAATGGCATCTCAAGTTCTTTCTGGAAGTAAAAAAGGTTTAAGGTGTAAATAAAATAACAATGAAGATCAGTTCAGAAGGACAGTACCTGCAGAGACCACTCCAGCCAGTTGTCAGATGAGGCTTTCTGAAAACATCACAGCCCCAACCTAAAATATGAAATAGGCCAGGAAGTGTTAATTCTGAACCAAATAATTAGGCAATCAAGCAACCTAAAGAGACCAGTGTCTTGACAGTACATAACTATTGCCATTCTAGATGCAGAAGAGAGAAAGTAATTCATTACAAAGGGTGCTTTACTAAGGCTTAGGGCATTAGAGTTTAATTCTCTCATAACCCTGGTTGAGAAGGGCTGCTCTAGAGAAGGTGTTTGTTCACACATAAATGGACACAATTAGTTATCTATGTGGCAAACATTAATGCCAACGATGCGGGAATTGAAGATTATTACTAACTTCTGCAGTCTGAAATTGATCAAACATGTAATCAAGATGCATTGATAACTACTGGTGATTGGAATGCACAAGTTGGAAGCAAAGAAGAAGAATTAGTAGTTGGAAAACATGGCCTGGGTGATAGAAACAATGCCAGAGATCTCATGATAGAATTTTGCAAGCCCAACGATTTCTTCACTGCAAGTACCTTTTTCAATAACATAACCAGCAACTATACACATGGATCTTGTCAGATGGAATACACAGGTACATCAGTTTGATGGAGACGATGGAAAAGCTCAATATCGTCAGTCAGAACAAGCCCAGGGGCCATCTGTGGAACAGACCATCAATTGCTCATATGCAACTTCAAGTTGAAGCTGAGGAAAACTAGAGCAAGTTCATGAGAACCAAAATACAACCTGCAGTATATCCTATCTGAATTTAGAGACTATCTCAAGAATAGATTTGACCCATTGAACACAATGACCAAAGACTAGACAATTTGTGGAGTGACAACAAGGACGTCATACATGAAGAAAGCAAAACGTCATTAAAAAGACAGGTAAGAAAGAAAAAAACAAAATGGATGGCAGAAGAGACTCTGAAGCTTGCTCTGGAACATAGAGTAGCTAAAGCAAATGGAAGAAATGATGAAGTAAAAGATCTGAACAGAAGATTTCAAAGGGCGGCTCCAGAAGAGAAGGTAAAGTATTGTAATGAAATGTGCAAAGACCTGGAGTTAAAAAACCAAAAGGGAAAAACATGCTCGACATTTCTAAAGCTTAAAGAACTGAAAAAAAAATTCAAGCCTCAAGTTGCAATATTGAAGAATTCTACAGGGAAAATATTGAACGACGCAGGAAGCAACAAAAGAAGATGGAAAGAATACACACAGTCACTGTACCAAAAAGAACTGGTAAACATTTAACCATTTCAAGAGGTAGTATATGATCAAGAACCAGGGGAAATGAGAAGTCCAAGCTGCACTAAAGGGAATGGCGAAAAACAAGGCTCCAAAAATTGACAGAATACCAATTGAGATGTTTCAACAGATGGATGCAGCACTGTTAAGATATTTGGAAGACAGCTTCCTGGCCAACCAGTTGGAAGAGACCCATATTTGCACCCATTCCAAAAAAGGTGATTCAACAGAATGTGGATATTGTTGAACAATATTAATATTACACACAAGTAAAATTTTGCTGAAGATCATTCAAAAGCGGTTGCAGCAGAACATCCACAAGGAACTGCCAGAAGTTCAAGCTCGATTCAGAAGAGGACATGGAATGAGGAATACAGATCATTGCTGATGTTAGATGGATCTTAACTCAAAGTAGAGAATACCAGAAAGATATTTACCTGTGTTTTCTTGACGATGCAAAGGCATTCCACTATGTGGATCATAAAAAATTATGGATAACACTGCAAAGAATGGAGATTCCAGAACACTTTAATTGTGCTCATGAGGAACCCATACAAAGACCAAGAGGCAGTTGTTCAAACAGAACGAGGGTATATATACCACGTGGTTTAAAGTCAGGAAAGGTATCAGTGTTGTACCCTTTCACCATATTTATTCAGTCTGTATGCTGAACAAATTATCCAAGATTCTGAACTATATGAAGAACGCTGCATCAGGATTGGAGGAAGACATATTAACAACCTGAGATATGCAGATGACACAACCTTGCTCGCTGAAAGTGAAGAGGACTTGAAGCACTTACTGATGAAGATCAAAGACTACAGCCATCAGTATGGATTGCACCTCAACATAAAAAAAAAAAAAAAAATCCTCACAACTGGATCAATAGGCAACATCACGATAAACAGAGAAAAGATTGAGGTTGTAAAGGATTTCATTTTACTTGGATCCACAATGAATGTCCATGGAAGCACCAGTCAAAAAATCAAACAACGTATTGCGTTGGGCAAATCTGCTGCAAAAGACCTCTTTAAAGCGTTGAAAAGCAAGAATGTCACTTTGAGGACTAAGGTGTGCCTCACCCATGCCATTGTATTTTCAATCACCTCATATACATGCGAAAGCCAGACAATGAATAGGAAAAACCAAAGAATTGACACCTTTGAATTATGGTGTTGGCAAAGAATATTGAATATACCATGGACTGCCAGAAGAATGAACAAAATCTGTTTTGGAAGAAGTACAGCCAGAATGCTCCTTAGAAGCCAGGATGGTGAGACTTTGTCTCACATACTTTGGACATGTTATCATGAGAGACCTGTCCCTGGAGAAAGACATCATGCTTGGTTAAGTGGAGGGGCAGCAAAAAAGAGTTAAGATCCTTGTGGTGTGATGGATCACTTTTTGTAGCCTTTCTAGCCATGGTCTTGTAACTCCCACCCAAGTGATTGTTCTGGACAGTCTTATAGGGTAGTTGTGACCCACCAAAGGGATTGGTCAGTTTTGCCATCCCACTGGGCTTGAAATGAGTCACCCCAGAGGCGGGAAAGAAAGGATCCCACCATCACCAAGGAATAAAAGCCAGGAGTGGAGAGCGCATCCTTTGGACTCAGGATCCCTGCACTGGGAAGCTCCTGGAACCAGGACATTGAGAGAGAGAGCGAACTGTAACACTGAAGACAGCGAGAACCAGCGGCAGAGACCTGGCTGCAGGAAACAGCGCTATGTGCTTCCCTGCCCACGGAGAAAGCTGAGTGCCTTTGGGCAGAGGCCTAGGGCCAGGGAGAGACATGCCTGTGAGCAAGACTGGGAAGAGGCTGACCAGATGGGAGAACTGTATCCTGAGCATTCCTGAATCTGAATTGTAACTTGTTACTTCCCTAATAAACCCCCAAATCATGAGTATTGTCTGTGAGTTCTCTGTGGCCATTGCAGTGAATTATGGAAACCAGCAGAGAAGTAGAGACTGCCTTCAGAAGCACTGTTGGTGCCAGAATTAGTAAAGATGGTGGAAAGAGGAGGCATGTCTGACCTCCGCCTCAGAGGAGTCAGCCTTGGGCTGTTGATCTTGATTCTCCTTCCTCCTTGTGCAATTAGAGGAGGTCAGAAACTGCCCCCATGTCGTTTTTACAGCCCTGAACGAAATGTATTGACACAGTGGCTGCAACAGTGGGCTCAAGCATAACAGATTGTGAGGACGGCATAGGACCTGGCAGTGTTTCGTTCTGTTGTACATAGGGCCGCTACGAGTCGGAACTGGTTCGACAGCACCTAAACAATAATGTGGCAATCAGATGACGTCTAACTACAAATCCATTGCTATGCAGTGGAAACATGTTCATGTGAAACTCTAAGCTGTTATTTTATATTATTTTATTCTGCCAGTTCTTTTAATCCTCTGCTCAGAAAAACTGAGATTAGAATAAAAAATTCCATTCCTCCTGAAAACAGTGTGAAAGAAACTAAAATAAAAAATAGGAAACCCGTTTTAAATTTACTTATATAAACTCTCGTCTAAGTATTGATTTCACAGTTCAGTGACTCAAGTGTAGAGAATCAAGGAATTAAGTCCAACATAACAACCAGACTCAGAAAAAGTGAACTTCCCCGAAGATATCTGAATATGTACCTCATACTCTCAAAGGCTTGGAATCCCTGGGTGGCACAAATGGTTAAGTGCTCAACTACTAGCCAAAAGGTTGGTGGTTCAAACCACCAAGAGGTGCCTCAGAAGACAGGCCTGGTGATGTTTCCAAAAGGTCACAGCCTTGAAAACCCTATGGAGCAGTTCTACTCTGCACATATGGGGTTGTCATGAGTTGGAACTGACTCTATGGCAACTAACAACTGTCAGAGACTTACTCCTTTTAACTACCAATTATTTTCTCCCATCTAAGCCAACTGTTACTAGGATCAAAATTCTTTCTTGCACCAGGTAGAGTCTCTAGCAGAACAGAAGACACACGAGTCAAAAAAGGCATTAAATTAACTTTCAGAAGCTTGTTTCCAACACTGCCCTGGCGCTCCTCAGGGCCAGCCTGGTCTCGAAGCAAAATCCGACAATGGCTGCACTCTGGTGTGGATATACTGGCCACTCTCTGCTCCGACAGTGCCCACTCATCTATGTCAAGGTACCCGACTGCTACACCAACACCCCACCTAACAAATCAATAAATGCCCCTAAAGTAATAAAAAAAATTTAGTGATTTTTCAGGATTGCAGAAAAGATAGCTTGATGCTACTGAAAATACGGCCTGGCATTTGTAAAATCTATAGTTTTAGAGAATTTAAATTGACTTTTTTTTCCCTCTTCCCTATAGAGTTCCTAAATTCACCCTAAAACCTTCTTGAGTTTCCAAATAGCAACTGGTAGTCCACAATCCTTTTATTACATTAAGCCTACTGATAACTCCAGTAAGAGAATTAGCCTCTTAAGGAACAAATACAGCCAAGTTAACTCAGGGATTTTAAGACACAGTGTAAAGAATATATACTATTTTCAAATGATGGAATATGGCTCAAATACACAGTAGAATAAAATTTTTAATGCATGATTAAGATGTGCTCAAAAATATAAACCTACACTGAACATATGTGGAAAAGATATTTAATTGCAAAATAGAAAAGTAGGCCAGAGTACAGTTTTAAGGGTAATTGCTTCTTTATACAGTGTAGGTAATCTAAACAGGTCTTAGGGTTAGATAAACATTTTCATAAAGCAACAAAACATTTTAAAAAATAAAGCAAGAAAAAGGGGCCTGAAGTTATGTTTTCCAAAAAAGAATTAACAGTATGTCAGAGTTTTATGTCTATACATTGTGGAATTTAACAATCTTGTGATGAGAGCAAGTCACAGCACAGACATACAGCTTTCAGAGGGAAAAGTAAAAGTTATCTTAGACACATGTGTAGCATCACTGTAGTACAAAAAGTTCTTGTTCTACATACAAAAGCAATTTTTTTTCCGTAAGAATAATTTCTTGGGGGGAGGGGTTGGGGAAAGGAGTCCATGAAGTATTTCAGAAGCCCATATGCATTGAGTTTTCCAAAAACATTATCTTAAAATCCAGTGCCTTAAAGTGCTTTCATGTGGAAATCATGATGGAAGGCACAGAATACAGGTTCACATCCCCACTATGAAATTTTCAAAAAAAGCATAGATTTTGCAATTTCAAGTTATCTTGTAAGCTGCTCCTTCTAAGAACATTGTCATTCCAATAAAACCAGCTGCCAGCTTACTTAATTTCAATGACCTATGGAATAAAAGGCTTTTTTTTCCCTAGTAACTTTCATCATCTTCGTGGGAAAAATACCTATGCAACTGATGCATTATGAAATTAGAAAACATGCAAAATATTTACAAACAGAAAGTTTAAAAAATATTTGTTTCATATACATGTAAATCTACTTGGGTATAGCTGAAATTGAACAAATATAAAAGTTCTGCTTTCTAAAAAATGTTTTCAGAGAATCTGAGACAACTTAAAGCTGTACAGAGATTTCCTGGGAGAAATCTTCTCTTCATATATAAGTTTATACCTACAGGAATAATTCCAGCATCAGTCTGCCACATAATTATACACAACATTTGGTCTAATCAACAACGATCACCCTTAAAACTGTTCTGTTTCTGAGAAATTAAGGTTCATACTAAAATCAAAAAGAATTCACAAAAACAGTGGCTTATTGTGTTTTTGGATCTCGACAATCTTTATCAACTCATTTGGAACTGTAAAAAAAAAACTATTTACAGAATTCAGTTTTAAATACATTTCACAACTTCTAAAGTAAAGTTTTATGTTACAAGAATTCAGAGCTCATGGCTTAAGTCCAATTATCAATCTGTAGTCTCTTCTATTATCCTGTATTCCCATGACTGTACCCGAATTGTGTACAGTTCAAGATTGTATTCTTTCTTGACCAAAAGTAAAATCAAACTACATGTTCCTTTCAATTAAACAGCTTCTTTATTAGTCTGAAGACGAGTCATTGCTTCTAATTTCTGCCTGTAGGCCTCTGCTTCCTGTTCTTTCTTTAGAAGCTGCTGTCGATATTTTTGTGCTTCTCGATTTGCTTCATCCAGCTGTTTCTGAAGAGCTTCTCTCTCCTAGTTAAAAAAGAAAGATTTTCAGTTTTTGCACAAGTACTTTATTAACACATACAAGCATGCATCCTTCAGATACAAAATTTGTAGTAGTAGAAAGCAGCCACCCTACTGATACTTCCTAGCCATCTTATCTTTTCAACCAATTCAGTAAGAATTAAACCCCTCGTTTTGGGCTCCACACTATGACACATTTGATGACAGTTTCTGGGCTCAAGGAAATTATTTCCTAATTAGAAATAAGACTAACACAGAATGAACCCAAATTGATTATCTGTATTTTTAGTGAAGAGTTTTAAAGGAGTGGAGGTGGGGGAGACATATAATCCTAACTCTTCATATCTGTATTTGTGATGTTTTTGTCTAAAGGTAATAATTATAAAACAATATTTATTGAGCACTGACTATATGACTAAACTAGGTGATTTCTAGTAATAAGCCTCTAAGATAGATATGTCCATTTTACAGATGAGAAAAATGATGCTCAGAGATGATGTAGCTTTCCCAAAGTTATACAGTGAGGAGTTGGGTTTACGGGGTTCTGATATTACTATTTTTAAATCTATATTCCTGTATGATAACAAGCAAGATTCTTCACCTTTAAAATGAAAAGTGTTAATCTGGATTAGTGTTTCTTAAATCAAGTCATTTAAAAACCAATAAAATGTCTAAATTCTATACTCTGACCCATTAAAATTATACTGGTAAAAAATATCATGTATTAAACTACTCAATAAATCAAGAATTGAAATACAGCTCTAGTCCAATAAGAATGGTAATTTCCTCCTTCCCACTCTCCCTCTTTCATTACCTCAGGGAAAGCATTTCAAAGAACTCTTGCCTTTACCTCTGGTGGGCACAAAAACACAAGATGTCATCACAAGATGACAGCCTAGGAACAAGCAGAAAGGAGACCCAGGAGATGAGCCTCATGTAAGAAATTAAGTCCATTACCCTGGCAGTGAACTATGCAGGCCTTTGAATACACGAATGGAATGAGTGGTGGATGAAGGGTAGGGGCTGGGTGCTGCTTCCCCAGGCACTAGAGCCACCTCTGGTAGAAGCACTCATAACCATGTACACATGGTTTAAATTTTTACATGTGTCAAGAAATAAGATTCTTTGGTGGCAAAACTTTTTACTATGGATAAAAAATTTCCCGACTTGGTAGGAAATATCGGAACAGATGAACTCTAAGCATCTTTTAGTGTTAGCTATTTATTAGTATTTAGAACCATAAATATTACCAGCAAAGAATACACAATTATTTTAGAAGAGCAAACTGAGAGAGGTAAATAGTCCAACAGCAAATACCGTTTACCCCTATTTTTCTTATTGCAAAGTTTTATTTTAAGAAGCAGAATATATTTTAATATAAATGAAGAGAGTTCCCTTCTGCCTACTGGGCCAAAGAAGACTCCCTTTACAATGCATTTTTGGCTAAATCTATAAAATGTAAAAGGCAAAGATCATTAGCTCTTTGAATACACTTAATTCTTGAGACTGAGAGCATAGTTAACATTATGATAAATTTTTTTTAAGTGTTTTCAATTTTTACCTACTACTCAGGCATTTAGGAAGAGAACCTCTTTGCTATCTCAACTTTAAAGGCAAATAAAAATCTCTGAGAAACAGAAATATAATTTCTTATTTTACTCAGAGATCCTGTTTCCAAATTTACTCATCAAATGTTTAACGAACATACATTACATGCAAGACGCTTCCTTTATGCAAACAGTAATTTGGTTGTTTCACACACGAATGGTGCAAAAGACTGACATTCGAGGCTTATATTTAAAAAGAAATGCCAATCCAGTAGCTTTAACCTTTTGCAATAAAACTATAATAAAAAGAATTTTGATATTTTTATGTAAACACAGTTTAGCCTACTTCTGCGTAATACTAAAGTATTTTTTGCCTTAGTAGTCTAACACTGAAGAATTCCAGGAAAAATAAATTCTATTGATAATCGAGACTTGGTAGCAACAAGGAAGATATTCATCTTATGCTAAAATTCCTATATTACTTATTACTATGAGATTAGGCAATGAGATAACAGAGCAAGGATAGACTTCAGTTTGCTTTTTTATTTTCAAACATCATTCTTGAATTCTGTTTCAGCTAGCTGCAATTAACTCTAGTTTTATCATTTTTAATATATAATTTTCTAATACTCAAATGTGTATTTTGCTTTGGTTATTACAAAAGCAAAAATCATGATAGTGATTTATCTTCTAACATTCTTCAATATAAATTTTCGAAGAAGAATAATAGTGACTAATACTTATTGAGCATTTACTATACCAGCCATTGTATAAATCCTTCACATGCATTATCACCTAATCCTTACAACAATCTAATAACATAAGTGCTGTTATTTTCTCCTTTGCACTGATGGGGAAGCCAAGCCTTGAAAGCTTAAATAACTTGCCTAAGGTCACAAAATCATAAAATTATAAATTAAAATTCAAACCCAAATCCAATTCCATACCTGTATTTCTAACTACTATTTTTTTTAAGAGAGGGAGACTGGGCAGGGTGTGTGAGCTATCTGTTTTGCTCGTGTGTAAACATTAATTTTCTAATTGCCAAAGGCCAAATACAGTCCTGTTTTATAGATAAAGTTTTATTGAAACAGAGTCATACTCGTTCATTTCTGAATTGTCTGTGACTGCTTTCCTGCTACAACGACAGAGTTGAGTACTTGCAACAGAGACTGCAAGGCCTGTAAAGCCAAAAATACTATCTGGCCCTTTACAGAAAAAGTTTGCCTACCCTAGCTCGGAAAGAAAATGTTACTGAGAAGACATTAAGACTATAGAAATATTTAAACTATGGCATATATTAATTTTGCATCCAATAAAACATTGTATAAAGAGCTTACAGAAATCAATTTTAAAGAACAGTAAGGATACAATCTATTACTGGTTAAAGAACACAAATACTTCACTAAAAATAAATAAAATTTGTTAATAGACATACGCATTTCTAACCTCCATGGCAAGAAAAAAGTCAAAGTATTTCCTGAAGCCACAGAAGTAATTAAGTGATGGAGAAAATCTGTCACGCCTAATGCACTAATTGTATTTTCTTCCTCCCACATTTATAGAGAATAGTTTTCATTTCAATTCAGAATAAGCTAATGTTTATTTATGGAATAAATCTGTAAATAGCACACTTCTTCCAGAGATATCTTGAATGCAGTAATATCAAGGGCTGACAAAATGATATAATTATTGCAATGTAGTGTCTTACTCATAACTTCTTCAAATAAACCTATTTCACTTCCTATATTGCTATAATGTAGATGTAAAAGCCACAGAATTTATAGTACATTTTCTACAATTTAAACTAATTTTTCCCGAGATTATTGGTAAACATCTCCATCATCAGTTGGGAAAATGTATATATAGATTCTTAGCACCTTCACTGTAGACAGTTGCTCTGGTGATTGAGGACACACACACATAGAGCAAACTCAAACATAGTAGATTCTGTATCATGAGTTGATTTTTAATTCCTTTAGGGCAGGGTTACTCAATCTCAGTATTACTAATATTTTCAGACTGGGTAATTCTTTGTTGTAGGGACTGTCCTATGCATTGCAGGTTGTTTAGTGGCACTGCTGGCCTTTCTCCACTAAATGCCAGAGGCACCTCCCCAGTCATGACAACCAAAAATGTGTTCAGAGACTGTCAAATGTTCCCTGTGGATCAAAATCATCCCAGTTGAGCACCACTGCTTTAGAGAAACTTTGAGTTAATGGCCAAGCTATCACTTAGAAAGGAGTATAAGAGTCTGTTCCCGAGACAGCTGTATTGGTCACCTAAGGAAATAAATCAAAATAATCACTTCATGCATATAAGGAAATAATTACCTGGTTTGATGAAAACATTGGAGGTCATCTCTTCATTCTATAGCCCCAAGCCTGACTCTACCATCTATTCTCACTGTACGCTTCAAGATCTCCCTGTAATACCCCTAAGAGGTCATGCAACCTTGACCTGAACATTTCCAGAGATGCAGAGTAAGATTTCCATCATTAGAAAGCTTTAATTAATGAAAATAAAACAAAAAAAACAAACAAAAACACTCTTCTTTATACCAAGCTAAACATCTATTACCATAAAGTTCCATCTCCTTGGTCCTAATTAATTTATATACCTCAGTTCACACTTTCCTGTTATTTGTGATTATTTATGTCTCCCTGGTCTCTGAAAGTCTATAAGAGACTGATGGGGCTGAACTCTGAGGAAAACAGCAACTATCACTGGCCATTAGGTAATAAAGGTACAAGCTGCCCAGTCATTCTGTTTTAAAAATAAAATTTGTTGAATTGAGTACGCTTTTATTTAATTAAAATTCAAGTAATTTAAAAATAATTTGTTTTACTAGATAATTAAAGCGAAGTACTGTATAACATTTTTTCCACTTATATGCCTGAAAAAAGATTTTCTAATACATCAGAAGAAGATACGCTAATAAAAAGATTATTAAATAATAAGTATACCAATACGGTTCAGTGGAATAAATTATTAGTCTGTGAATAAGAATTTCAACATACTGAATATCACTTTAAATTCTGAAGAAATAAAACAAACAACTTTCAGTAACTTTATTTAAAGTCATAATTCTACTAAACTTCCTGGTTAAACCATGAATCAGATCATTTTTAATTCAATAATATATTATTTGTGATTATTGCCAAAGATGTATCAGTCTTATATTTAAATGAATTTGTGCGAGGATATTTTCTAATTGTCTTTAGTCAGAATTATGGTGTCTTTCAGTGATTTTTTTTATAATCCTCTTTTCCATAATAACTAGAACCCTTACAAAGAATTACTAAATATTTGCCAACATTCATTATACATATATTATCAGACACTATGAATATATGTATAAATGAGTATATTACCTTTTTCAATTCTCATAAAAAAAAATCCTAAAAAGTAGATACTGTTATTCTAAATGCCAATTGGGAGAAAATAAAATTGAAGCTCAGAGAGATAAGTTGCCTCAAAGCTAAAAGGGGCAAAAGCTGAGATTCAAATTTAGCTCATAAGACTTCAAGTCCAATGTTCTGCTCTTTACACTGCAGTCGCTCAATAACTTTGTTTACTTTTTATATAAGTTGATACCAGATTCAGGGGACATAATTTGATTTACAGCCATATGAGAAAAAAATCCTATGATGCAACTAACTATGGTTTAGTTACACAAACAAACTAGCTTGGGTGAGAGGAAAAAAACTGAATCCTATGAATAGCTAATCTAAATTAATTTAATTTCCTTAAAGGACTTAATAGTGAAATTACCAAGTATCTGCGACTTATTAAAAAATAACCCATTTGACAAGTGGCAATCTTCTTTAAGAGGATCCCCTAACCCAATTTGGCACTTACATTTCGTTTTTGAAAGAAACAAAAATGTTGTCATATATGGTGACATTTTCTTTTGGTGATTTGTGAGAATGGATATATGTAAGTTTAATAAAAATAAAGGATGGAGTGCAAGAACCAAAGACATCCCAATGTTAACATAATGACAGACTCTGTTACAAACAAATTCTTCACTCATTCATTCATTCATTCAATATTTATTTATTGAGGGCTTGCTATAAGGCAAAAAAAGACAAAAGGATAATACTATGCACCTTCATTCTGTATCTAAACAACACTTTCTGTAATAAATATAAAAGACAAAAAAAAATAAAGAAAAACAAATTGAATTTATTTTTGATGACTGCGGCAAAACACACCGGGTAAAAGACTCCTTACTTCTATTTCTGCAGATTCCACCCGGTTTTCAATTATTTCGATACACTGTCTCTTAGCTGGTGGTTCTTCACTTATAACAGTTTCTTCAGCAATGTCTGTTGCTGGTACTGTTAATACTGAAATAAAAAAATATATACATTACTTCATTTCAATAGCTTTAAAAGAAATAAAACTAGTCCTGACATTGCTGACACAACTGAACTAAAATAAATATATTCCAAAACAATAATTTCAAAACACTGATTCACTTTTTGTGAGGATATCTATATTTATCTTCTTCACCTTCTTGCTTTCTTACAGTAATCTTATTACTGGAAGTATGTACTTATTTATTTTTTAATTTTAATAGATAATATATTCATTTATATGGCTGGAAAATCCAAACAATATTTAACAAGCATACTTTGAGAGGTCTGCCTCCCAACCCTGCTAACACAGATAACCATTTTTATTCCTTGTGTTACTTCTTGTGTTCATTCATGCAAAAACAAACATGAATATACATTCTCATTTTTCTCCTGTTTGTATACAAAAGGTAGCATATGTATATAGATACATTGTTCTGCATCTTGCTTTTTTCACTCCATATATCTAGGGTATCTTTCTGTTATCAGTACTTAGAGAACTTCTTTGTTCAGCTGTATAATATTCCATTGTGTGGCTATACCATGCACGTTCTGTGGACCGTCTGCTTATAATGTTTGCTGGTCTTTCTACTGGGTTTTGGACTTTGTCTCAATTTTTAGTTAATTCTTTCCATAAATGTAATATAAAATTTACATACAGATATGTGCAGTCCTCACTTTGCACATAAAAATGACCGGGGCTAGCCAAAACTTTGCAAAGCAATCTTAATAACCAGTGGAGGAAATTACAATTGTTCCACGAACTTTAAAATTTTTTGTCAAAACAATGAAAACTCTCTTACTGTCAGTTATCTGTATACACAAATGGGAAAAAGTAGTAAAACTAGTACTTAATTAGTACACTGCCATTTAAAACATTAGAAAGATTGAGAATTAAAACTTTTTTTGGTAAAAAATTTATCAAGAGTAGTTTGACCAGTTTTTCCTTCTTTGTATAACTTACCATACTGAGTAAGCATTTTTTCTATGCCTTCGCAAATTGTCATACTCTTTTTTTTTTAGCAGAGCAGAATTTTTTTTTTATTGTTATGTTTTATTAAAGTCAGTTAATACCATAGAAATTAGCCAGAGAAATAATTCCCACCACTTTTCTTTCTTTTTCTTCCTCCCCTCCTTTTTTTGATTTTATTTATTTCTGGTGAAAATATACACAGCAAAAGATACACTATTTTGACTATTTCTACATGTACAATTCAGTGACACCGATTACATTCTTCAAGTTGTGCAACCATTCTCGTTATTCTTTTGCAAATTATTCCACCACCATTAACGTGAATTCACTGCTCCCTAAGCTTCTCATCTAACCTTTTGAGTTGCTGTTGTCAATTTGATGCCACATAGATAATTCTTTAAAAGAGCACAATGCTCAAGGCAGACATACTTTACTAATTAAGCTAAATTATTATTTGGTTCAAAGAAGACTTCAGGGGGTAATTTCAGTTTGAGGTTTAGGTTAAATTCACACTTTTTGGAGTCACTGAGGCTGGATGAACCCCCTAAACTATTACCCTGTCATACTCCTTTTTAAGTATGGATCAGCTTCTAACATTTTATCCTTTAAATCTTCAATGCCATGAATTATCTCTGAAGGTTCCTTTAATACCAAGTTTTTTCTTTTTTTTTTTTGCTAGTATCACTTCTTCTGGGACATCTTCATCCTTTTCATCAAAACCACTTTCCTCATTTATGTCGATAAGTTCACCTTCACCAAGTTCCTCCGGCTGCTTATTAGAGTCTTCTGAATAGCAACAGTGTAACCATTCTCGTCGTTAGCTATTTGTTCTACTAACTTTATTTATGTTTGATTCACATTTTACTTGTAGCATTATCACTTTTTGTTTCTTTGTCCTTTCATCTGTGTCGGCCAATTCTTCTTTTGATTATCCATTTTTATAAACTGTCACATAGGTTTATCACTAGGAGGCAAGGAAGCAATACAACTCCATGCTTTGCTGTCGAGGTATGAACTGAACCATAAATACACAGTGTTCTATCACAGACAGACTTTGAAAAAAAAGTGACGTGATTAGTCACTGATCATTATGCATAGTGATTTGTGGGCTAAAGAGCTATCAAGGAAGTTGGTGCTTTAAGAAGTTATCACAGCTAATATACCACTGTACGTGAAATTTGAACCACATTGCTAGAAGACTGGCATTATTTAACCAAACTGTGGGAACTGCAATTACTGCATACTGGAACTGTGCAAAGTGAGGATTGCCTCTATGTGTGTGTAAATGTATGTGTATGTTTTAAACTAGGGAGATTAGTCCTTTGCCTATATTTCAAATATCTTTTCTGTTCTCATTTTCTGAAATTACTTATGGTATGTTATTCACCATACAGAAAGTTTTGATTTTTATGTGGCTAAATTTATCAACCTTTTGTTTTCTGGATTTATGCATCATGACTAAAAAGGCCATCCCCACACTAAGGTTATAAAAGAGTTTGTCTGTGTTTTTCTTCTAACACTCTTACACTTTCAGTTTTATTTTGTATATTTAAATCTTTGTGCCATTTTGGATTTTATCTGAATGTACAGTAAAAGGAAAGGATTCACTTTTTTCTAGATGGCTATCCTGTTGCCCCAACACCATTTATTAAGGAGACCATCTATTTTCCAATGATTTGAGATACCATCTTTATTCTATTCTATTCTTTCTATCTATTTATCTATCTGTCTATACAAGAAGAAAATATTGAAATTGTCAGGGATTTCATTTTACTTGGGTACACAATCAATGCCCATGGAAGCAGCAGTCAAGAAATCAAACGATGTACGACATACTGCATTGGGCAAATCTGCTGCAAAAGACCTCTTTCAATTGTCAAAAAGCAAAGATGTCACCTTGAGGACTAAGGTGCACCTGACCCAAGCCATAGTATTTTCAATTGCCTCATATGCATGCAAAAATTGGATAATGAATAAGGAAGCCCAAACAATTGATGCATTTGAATTATGGTGCTGGCAAAGAACACTGAATATACCATGAACTGCCAGAAGAATCAATATATCTGTCTTGGAAGAAGTACAGCCAGAATGCTCCTTAGCAGTGAGGATGGCAAGACTTCATCTCACATACTTTGGACATGTGATCAGGAGGAGTCAATCCCTGGAGAAGGACATCATGCTTGGTAAAGTAGAAGGCCAGAGAAAAAGAGAAAGACCCTCAGCGAGATGGACTGACACAGTGGCTGCAACAATGGGCTCAAGCATAGCAATGATTACGAGGATGGTGCAAGATCAGGCAGTGCTTCATTATGTTGTACACAGGGTCGCTATGAGTCAGAACCAACCTAACAACAGCAACAACATATTTCTATGTGTATTTTGGCTTATTTCTGCACTTTACATTTGTTTCATTGTACTGTCTGTATAGTTTGGAAAGTTATATGTCAGCTGCTGTTGTTGTTAGGTGCTGTTGAGTTTGCCCCTGACTCATGGCAATCCCATGTGTTACAGAGTAGAAATGCTCCACAGAGTTTTCTTGGCTGTAATCTTTACAGAAGCAGTTC